GGTCATCATTAGACTCTTAATTCCAGATTGAATTCAAATTGCACCAACTTCCTTGGCAGGATTTTGAACCAGGTCACCAGAACAGTTCCTGAATTATCAAATGTCAGGTTACACCAACTACAGAGAATTATGAATACAGCCCGGTCCATCACACAAGCCAAACTTCCATCCGCTGACACCATCGATACTTCTCACTGCCTCGGGAAGGCAGCCAACATCATCAAAGACCCCTCTCACCCCGGTTACAATCTCTTCCAAGCTCTTCTGTCGGGCAGAAGATACAACAACTTAAACACACGTGCCAACAGATTCAAGAATCTCCCACGCTGTTATCAGACTTCTGAATAGACCTCTCAAATTTTAAATTTAATGTTGGCCTCACTCTTTGTGCACCTTCTCTGTAGCTGTAACATTGTATTCCTTGCTCTGTTCTATTACCCTAATACACTTTATATGGTATGATCTGCCTGTACTGCATGCAAAACAAAACTTTTCACTGTACCTAGCTACACGTGACAGTAACAAATCAAATCAAAAATCATGCGAATTGAAGATAAATGTATTGCTTCCATTCTTCCAACTTATACTTCAAAGGTTTTTGTGAGTCACAGGGAAGCAATTCAACTGTATTATCTTAGGATTTCTTCATCCACCTCTTTATATCTACACAGAAATATCCACACACCTTAAATCATCTAATCATCTACCTGAATAAATGAACAGTTCACAAAGCACACAGGAAAAGATGGTTTGCATCTAGTATGGGTCACTCAGTCACACATCACATATTTGAAAAAAGGCATAATTGCTTTAAATATCCCAATAAAGCTATGCTAATAACATTAAAGATCACTGTACTTTAGCAATTAGGATGTCAAGGTCTTGGATATGGTACAGATTCACTTGTCTTCAGCCAGCTTTTCCTTAGGGAAAAAATGGAGCCACTGATCACCATGCTCAGGTACCAGCACAAACAGAATGTTATATCTTATCAAACACTATGGCTGTGGCCTGTGCTTGAGTAAGTTTTTTCATCATTTTCCCTTCTTTTTATTCATTGTTTATTCAACTTTTATTCCCTTATTCTGCTTGGGAAGGTGGTGGAGAGTTGCCTTCTTAAACCGGAGCAGTCTCTCGGGTATAGGGATACCCACAATGCTGTTAGGGTGGGAGTTCCAGAGTTTTAACCCAGTGTGCCTCACTCTGGGATCTGTTTCATTGCCCCTTGCCCCCACTCAAGGGTCTATCTCATTGCCCCTTGCTCCCACTCTGGGGTCAGTCTCATTGCCCCATGCTCCCACTCTGGGGTCAGTCTCATTGCCCCTTGCTCCCACTCTGGGGCCTGAGTCATTAAACCTCTCTCCGCACTAGTGTTTGAAAAAGAACACCTGTTTTCTGGTTTTGCAATAGAATATGTTTGAATTGCTCAGTGCTGTGAACAGACCTGAATGTTGATGCAGCATCTCTGTTGAGTTTTGTAGTCAGCCAGGAGTTGCAGCACATTCTAATCCTTGAACTTTCCCTGGCGCACTATTACTCTATGTCAGTCAAAAGGCTTTGAAGCTTCTAGTTCTGGCTTTGGGTTCAGGACTTGGGTCGCTTTCCCGATGCCAGGTAATTGCCCAATGGAAGTTTCTGAGCAATTACTACACGGTTAGTTTGTCTGGAGTTTCAAAAGGGCTGGACGTATATCTTTCTTCCACTGTCCTGGTCCAAATGATTTGGTCCATTGTATCTCCCAGTGCAGACAGGATACACTGCACATAATACATTCAAAGAACTCCAGTCTCCCTCCAGGAACCTGAGCACATAGCTTGACGCACTGACAGCAGAAATGAGGGAGTTCCACACAGTCAGATGCACCTTATTTAAGACTGTAAACGGATAGGAGCTGATGTAGGCTGTTCAGCTCATTGAGTCTGCTTGGTCATTCAATGAATTGGAAGCTGTTGGGTTGGCATGGCCGCTCAGTGGTTAGCACTACTGCCTCACAGCGCCTGGTTTCAATCCCACCCTCAGGTGGCTGTCTGTGCAGAGTCCACACATCTTCCCTGTGTTTATATGGGTTTCCTCCAGGTGCTCTGGTTTCCTCCCACAGCCCAAAGATGGGCAGATTAGGTGAATTGCCCACAGCTTCCAGGGCTGTCTAGGTTGGCTGGATTAGCCATGGGAAATGCAGGGTTAGAGGGTAGGAAGCAGGTCTGGGTTGGGTGCTCCTCTTTGGATGGTTAGTATGGACTTGATGGGCTGAGAGGCCTGCTTCCACAGTGTAGGGATTCTATGATTTTAATCTACTAATCCTCAACTCCATTTTCCTGCATTTTTTGTTACAACTCTTGATTTCCTTACTGATTAAAAATCTGAATCAAAACCAGAAACTGCTGGAGAAATTTAGCAGGTCTGATAGCATCTGTGGAAAGAATGCAGAAATTGCAGTGACCCTTCATCAGAACCAGTAGTAGCTAGGAAAAGATGGTCTCTTTGCTGAAGGCGGGGTGAGGAGGGGGTGTAAAGGAATATGTAATGAGTGGAGATGGAGCCTAGAAGGAGTGAAAGACAGGTAAAGGAATGGATAATGGTACGCTAGAGAGACAAAAGAGCTGCTAATGGCGACCATAAGTGGGTGAGATTGAGTTGGCTGTGCTGAAAGCAGCCCATGTGACAACAAGGCCTAGGGTGTGGGGTTTGGGTTTTTTTATTCATTCATGGGATGAGGGTGTCGCTGGCCAAGCAGCATTTATTGCCCATCCCTAATTGCCCAGAGGGCAGTTAAGAGTCAACTACATTGCAGTGGGTCTGGAGTCACATGTGGGCCAAGTAAAGGCATGGGAGAAGATACTGAGACTCTAAAATTGTTGAATTGATATTGAGTCAGGAGGGCTGCAGGGTTCCCCAAGCGGAAAATGAATCTCTGTTCCTCCAGCTTACACCTAGCTGCGCTGGAACACTGCAGCAAGCCTGAGACAGAGATGTCGACCTGGAAACAGGGTGGTGTGTTGAAGTGACAGGCAACGGAAGCTTGGAGTTATTTTTAACCAACAGAACGAAGGTGTGACACAAAGCGGTGACCCAGTCTGCACTTCATCACTTCACCGTAGGGCAGATCACATTGTGAGCAGTGAATACAGTAAGACTAGATTGAGTGAATTGCAGGTAAATCGTTGCTTCACATGGAAGATGTGTCTGGGGCCTTGGACAGTGAGGAGGGACGAAATAAACAGATGGATGTTAGCCTTCTGCAATTGCACGGGGAAGGTGCTGTAAGGGTGTGGAGACATGTCTATTCCAGCCTTAATTACACCTAATGACTTAGCCTTGACTGATTCACAACCCTATGAGAGAATAGATTTCGCCTCCTCTTTGTCTTAAATGTGCAACCCCCTATTCTGAGGTGATACCCTCTGGTCTTAGACTCTCCCACAAGGGGAAATAATTTTTCCACATCGACCCTGTCAAGCCCACGAGACTCTTGTATGTTTTAATAAGATTCTTCTCATTCTTCTAAACTCCAACAAGTACATGCCCAAACTACTCAACCACTTCACTTAAGACAGTCCCTCCATACCCGGGATCAGCCAAGTGAACTTTAACTGGACCCCTTAGGTAAGGGGACCAAAACTGTTCACAATATTTTCAGATGAGATGTTACTGTGAGACCTCATCTGCTCACTTGGAAGTGTGATCTTCTATACATGCCTCCCCACAAACATATAGAAACCGTACAGTGCAGAAAGAGGACATTCAGCCCATCAAGTCTACACTGACTCTCCAAAGGGCATCCCACCCAGTCCCCTACATTATCCTGATTAATGCCACATTTCCTGTGGCTTGAAGCAGGGATGGTGACTCTACT